TATGCCTGAAAAAAAATCTAAGTCTTAATTATTAGAACGTTTAATTCATTTTTGTTGACGGAGTTCGAAACGTTGGTTGAAAATGGTTTGAATCAAATTCAGAAACGTTTAGAAGATATATTTTGTTAATATGAATATGGAAAAATGAGAATATATAGCAAAATCAATAAAAATTGACGTGGACGTCATCAAAATATTTGACGAATATACGGTTACTTTTCTTACTTTGAGTTTTGGCAAATGGCAAATAAAATTCATAGTTTTATCACCGATTTTTCACTTCAATTTTAGACACAAGATGATGTGCATGCCAAATTTTATTGATTTCTCTTATACAGGATGAGTTTCCTACGATGTTCTCTGTGGGTATCTCGGAAACCACTGAAGATAGAGAGTCAGTTAAATGGGGAAAGAATAATTGCAGTTTTGTGGGGTCATAAATATGCGCCTTTCAGATTTTTGAAGAAGTTCATGGCTTACTAGATATTTCGAAAAAAAAATTCGGCAATTTTAAAAATTGTCCCTAATTCCGTTATAATCTATTTTAGACAAAAAGTTTTCAGATAAAAGTTGTAGATAATCACATCTCTAATGAGTTTGTGTTCTCCGATTTTTTCTAAAGCCTGTCATTTTTGACATATGACACAATCATATGTTTTTTTTTAAATGAAAACCATAGTTGGCCATGACTTAATTATACCAACACAATGAAAGTCATGTTGGAACCACTTTATTGATGCACGAGTATCTAAATTTAACTTTAATGTCTTGAAAACCGTTCTCTAAAAAACGTAAGTAACGTTCACCCTTGAAGTGGCCAAGAAAGGTTGAACCAATATTACTACACGCTTTTCTTCATTTGAAAAATTCATATTTACAATTTTTGTTTATTTTAATTTACAAAGTTTGGATGTGACAGTTTCACATTTCTGAGAGCAACGGCGATTGACTTGTTTCCATGGCTAAGTAAGTGAAACTAGTCAAGAAAGATAAGAATTGACTATAACTCAGTAATTTTGTGAAAAAAATATATTATAGCTTATGTCGCTGAAAAGCTTTAAAAAATGGCGCTTTTTATGAAGTCATGGCCAACTATGGTTTCCATTTAAAAAAACATGTTTGTGTCATATGTCAAAAATGACAGGTTTTAGAAAAAATCGGAGAACACAACCTCATTAGGGATGTCATTATCTACAACTTTGATCTGAAAACTTTTTGTCTAAAATAGATTAAAATGGAATTAGGGGCAATTTTTAAAATAGCCAAAAATTGTTTTTTTTTCGAAGCTATGAACTTTTTCAAAAATCTGAAAGGCGCATATCTATGACCCCACAAAACTGCAATTCTTTCCCCATTTCACCGACTTTCTATTTCCACTAGTTACCGAAATACCCACAGAGAACATCGTAGGAAACTCACCCTGTATAAAAAATATATACAGGGTCTTTTTTTCCTATGGCAGGATTCTAACGACTGTTATTCTTGCTATAGGTAAAATTTCTTGTGATAAAGTAACGTAAAGAATTTAGCGTGGGGATAACGTTTCGAGTTCCTTTTTCCACCTTTCCACATTGTCGTGTATGTTACAGTTTATTTTTTCCTTTCGTCATTTTTATCGATAAGCGTCTTGCGACGGTAAAATTACGCAACACAATTGCCTTTTCCTATAAAATGTACTACTTACATATTAATTAGCTCTTATTTTACATCCCCGTGTAAGCTGTACGTACGTTTAATATTTAAGATAAGTCCACAGGACGGGATTAGGGATATCTGGAAATATACTGAAAATGCGGGAAAATTACCATTGAGATGACCTTTATGCATATCAAAAAGGAAAATCGTCTAACTGACTGACAAATCTAAAAATGACTGGTCGTTTTAATGGTAGTTATCCGGTGCTGCGAATTATTTGAAAGCTCCAAGTTCCTTAGTCATGCATACTACGCTTACACACATATGACTAAAATAAATGTACAGAGCTTATTACTCTTTACTGAAGACGTTGGTGGATAAATCTCTGTAACCTGAATTATATGTTATTTATGGAAACCAATAAAAAATAATACTTACGATTGTTGTTTTATTTTTCTTTATATAACGGCAGCGCCCTTTTAGTTCTTTTAATTTTTCAGATTAAAAAAACCAAAATTTGGTATCTATGTATATGACATAAATCGGGATTCATTGACGTATTCAGTTAGTTTTGGTCACTTCCTGTTTCACCAGAAATATCTACAGCTTTTGATTTTTAAGTGATAGCCTAGGTATTTTTTATTTTATTCGATAGAAAGTGCTATTCTAAATAAAAAGGCATATAATATGTCAACTTCTGACATTTACGCTTAAAAAATTGTATTTTAAATTTCAATCTAGAGTGCCATGGCTGTGTGCCATGGTGGTACTAATTATAAATCAAAATTTGTAGTCATTTCCGGTGAAACAGGAAGTGACCAAAACTAATTGAATACGTCAATCAATCCTGATTTATGTCATATACGAAAATACCAAATCTTATTTTTTTATCTGGAAAAATAAGTTATAGGGGTAAGTTACTTTTGATTTGAACACCCGGTAAAGTTTAAAAAAATAGTGTCGAATTTCAACAGGCTAGACGGTATAGTCTGTCCAACGAAAGAATAGATGACAGTGACAGTTGTGTCTGTCATTTTAATTCACAGGTAAATTGTAATTTTTGTCATTTTCTGGATGTCGTCTATTGAACTCTTCACTGATTTGTTGGACAGACTATACTAAAAGTCTGTCTAACGAGTCGGAGAAGATTTCGATATAACACATCAACACATCCAAAAAATGATAGTTTACATACAATTTAACTGTAAATTCTAATGAGAGTTATACCAAATTCAAATTTGACAACTGTTTGAATTGTCTGCAAATCTCATTGGTTCTACACAATATAGTTCTAAATCCCCGTTCTCAGAACTACGTTGTGTCGCTGGTAAAACCAATGAAAATTGTACCAAATTTAAATCTGACAACGGTTTGAATTTTGTACAAATCTTGTTATTTTAAAGTATTGCCAGCAACACATCAGTCTAGTTCTGGAGGCTTTGAAATGACAGACAGAACTGTCACTGCCATGAGTCCTCTCCTTGGACAGGCTAAATACACGAAAATAAAGTAAATATATAGTTTAGTGAGGATATTACAGCCCCTGAAAGGATACATAAAATTATCTATTTTATTTACTTTTAAAAACAGTAGTAAACACACCATTTTCCATGCAATTTGGTATTCTTAGCAAAATAAAAACACTAAATCACCACAATACACCAAAACACTTTTACTTTTACACTGGACGCGCGTTTCACTAACCATGTTAGCATCATCAGCAGATGATCAAAGACCATTTGAAAAAATGAATGATTTGAAATGATTGAAAGAACATTAATTGGGTCTTTGATCATCTGCTGATGATGCTAACATGGTTAGCGAAACGCGCGTCCAGTGTAAAAGTAAAAGTGTTTTGTGTGTATTGTGGTGATTTAGTGTTTTTATTTTGCTGTGTAACATCAAAGGTTCCAATCCCCAACTGTAATTTTTGGTATTCTTAAACACAATTCAGTGCCAAAGCTAATGGCGATAGCGTAAAAAGCTTCAACAGTTCAGAAAGGGTGTTTTTTAGTAGAGTAATAGGAGGTATAGTTTCTCACAGAACTTTTTTATATTAGTGGATAAACTAATTTCAACATTTTGACTTTTTTACGCAAGAAACGTACTCTTCGTTTAGTTAGAAACTATTTTAGTAAACCGATTTTAGTGTTATAGTAAAATCATGAGGTAATAAGGAAATAATTCTAAGGAAATAATTCCTACTTTTGTGGTGGGTCCTGAGGATCGCCAGTTTTTCAACTTGTCTGAAGAATACACTCGATAGTCTGTTCAACATGAGGATCAATGACGGTTGTATCTGTCATTTTAATTCGCATGTAAATTGTATTTTCTATCATTTTTTTGGATGTCGTCTGCAAATTTTTCCCTGACTTGTTGATAGACTATACCTAAAGTCTGTCCGACAAGTGAGGGAAGATTTCGACCAAAGACGTCCAAAAAATGACAGAAAATACTAAATACCTGTGAATTAAAAGGACAGACACAACTGTCATGTAACTTTTCTTGGATACTTATAAGTACCATACGATCCAATGACTAAAGAATCCAAGCACAAATAACACCCGAGAGCAAATTGTGCCGATGTCACCAAACAGTGCCGTGGCACATATTTTTCTTAACCTAGCTGTTTGAAGCAATTTATTTTTTAAAATGGCGTAGTAGTTCTAGAATGTCTGTCCAACGAGTCGACCAAGATTTGTCCAAGATTTCGACAGACAATGCCCAGAAAATGACAGAATATATAATTTATCTGTGAATTAGGATGAGAGATAAATGATAGACAGTAATTTATTCTCGCGTTGGACAGATTTTGGTTATCATAACTTTTAAATATGGAGGGCAGAGGTAAGGAGAAAAATCTCTTATGGGACTTTATTTGAAAAAGTGGTCACCAAAATGAGAAGAATTAGGGTTCACTAAATAACCTGACAGTGGCGCTAACACGCAATAAGTTACTTAGCGGTATAAAGTGAAGTTAGTAAAAATGAGAGGTAACGTGCACTTTTAGAAAACGCATATTTATCTTCTTTTTAGTTATTTCCTGTTCAAAAAATCTTTGACGCTTCTTTCAAATGTAAAACTTTTGCTACAGCAGCGCCATCTTAGGTGTTTCCTATTTGATGACCACTTTTCAATACACGAAGATAATTCTCCTTACCTCTACCCTCCATACTTGTAGAGTAAAAGATTTTTACGTCGAAAATAAATTTTAAAGACATCCAGGCAGTTGAAATTTATTCAGATAGTAGAAAAGTAATGGTCCTTCGAGCCGGATTCGATAATAGCTTTTTTTACTTTTTACGAGCGCGAGGAAAAAGGATATGACGGATGAAGGGAAACATACACACACGTCTAACTCAAAATTAAAATAATTCAGTAAGTATTTATTAATATACAAATTAATATACAAATAAAATGAAAACTGTATAGATTGACAACTTTAAACCGCATTCTCTTTGCTTCGCTTCACTCGCATTCCTGTTTAAACATTAATACTTATTCGATAGCCGGTGGGCGAATGGCGAGCGGCGTTGCCGCGCCGCCCGCCATTCTCGCGCCGGATCCCCACGAGATTAACCTTAAAATTAACAACTTGCAATTATAATGTATACACTTTTCATTTATTCATATTGGGTGGCGCGCGCCTAGCGCCCGACGGGTCATGGAATCAAGACGAGTTTGTTCACGTGTTGTTGAGGACGGGCCGACCCTCCAGTTTGCTGTAGTCCAGGTGAAACTCTTTGGCGACCTATAACAACAACAGAAAGTCCATTAAGCGTTTATTGAAATAGTTATAAAGATGGATCACGAGAACTTGATTAATTTAAAATAAAACATCTTTCTAGGCTAAAAGCTGTAGAAGTCTGACACAATTCTTCTGTATATTAAAATCCGTGAATACACAGGGTGTTTAAAATATTTTTTTTTTTTTTTTTTTTTTTTTTTAATCATAAAATATGATTTATTTTTCATATCTTATGAGTCCGATTCTGCTTTGTTTCGTAGCTATACCTGAAACTTTCTCAGGTAAGATTTCGACAGACGATGACAGAAGAAAAGCAGATTACGTCCCATATTACCAATCTATTTATTTTTAAAAAGTTTAATAATTTTAAGTTATCTATGGATGGGTTTAAATATAAATCGTCATGCGTCGTGTCTGTGTTGTTTTAATTAGTTTATTGGTTTATTTAAAAATGACAGATCGTATTTCAATTTTATTGGTTTGACGGAACGATGAACGATAAACGGACGCCGATGCGTAACTCGCACCACAGATTTTTGTCATTTTGACGCTTGTCAAAGTCTTGCCAAATTATAGGTTATAATTTTGTGTCAACTTTGTCAAATACCACACCGTTTTGGAAGATGACATTTTGATTCGTGTTATTACGTGTGTTTTGTGTCTTTTTAAGTCAAGTGGAGGAAAAATCAGTGAAAATTAACAGACCCAGGGCACAGTTTATGGTTAATACTCGGTGCCCAGTCAGAAAGTCTTATACACCTCATCGTTAAAGTTTGTATACCATCTCGTCGTAGATAAGTGCATCTCTTATATGGTAGAAGGATCAAACTAAACACAGACTAAAAACTGGAGTAGCTATAAAATATCGACATCACACGATATGTAAATAATGGATTTCAGTACTGCACAAGAAAAATAATGTCAAAAGGTACTGGTTTAAAAAATTAAGATTAGAGTTAATTAAATCAGCAACCTTTAAGGTATAAAATTTGGTAAGTGTTATTAATAAAATAGTTTGTTTTATTTACCTATATTGTTTGGCTATTCCTGTGGAATAACACAACATTTTATGTTTGTACATAAGTTATATTGATAAATATAATCGCATAAATGCTGAATTTAGTTTCATAAAGCTTGAAAGTAAAAGTAGTTCTTTTTATATTTTTTGGTATGAGGTGTCTTGTTCTTGTTTGTTTTGTAAAAAAAAAAAAAAAGTTTTATTAAAATAAAATAACTCGATTTTCAGTTTTATACAGTTTTTTTCCACAATATTTTGAAGTAATCCTTGTCATCTGTTATCAATCAAATTTTAAATATTTCTACTATGCGTTCCAGTTGTACCAACTTTTTTTTTTTTTTTTTTTTAAATAAAATAAACTACTGAAATTAAAAATGACAGACACATCTATCACTGTCAAGGGATCTTCTCGTTGGACAATTGAAGTGTGTTTCGATTTATTATAATTTTCTTCCAAGTGCTTTTAGTGATTCGAATGAAATTTTGAGGACAAAAGTTACTATAAGTGCTACATATTTTAATGCTAAAAAAGTGGCGATAAATTCATCAGGGACGTGCATATGAGTTATCACAGGAATATTTTTCAAAAAAAAAACATATGCGCCACTGACTTCTTTTGATCAAAATTATGTAGGCCGTTTAATGCCAATTAAAAGTTACCTCTAAATATTTTGTCGAATTCGGCCTCCTTGATGAGATAAACGAAATTTTATTAATCACAATTAATAAAATTAAAATTAAAATCAAATTAATAAATTATATATTTTACCTAATTTATTATTAAATATTATTACTATTAGATATTATTACTATTTATCCAACCTACAGCCATTTCAAATAAAAAAATAATGGTATTTAAGATAATTACAAAACACCTAATTTTAAAAAGTTTTTACATCCTGTAACTCTAAAACTATGCATTTTCATATGCATGTTTATAGGAACTTTTTTCATATTTTTTAATGAGGAATCAATGAGTACTTATTTAAAACTTTTTCAAGTTAATGATATTAAAATTTTTTAACGGTTGCTATTAGACTTGGATCAAGGCAAGTTAATAAAATTCCGTTTATCTCATCAAGGAGGCCGAAATCGACAAAATATCTAGAGACAACTTTTAATCGGCACTAAACAGCTTACACTATTTTGCTAACAAGAGAAAAAAAATCAGTGGCGTACATGCTTTTTTTAGAAAAATATTGCAGTGATAACCCATATGCACGTCCCTGGTGAATATATCGACACTTTTTTAGCTTTAAAATATGTCGCATTTATAGTAAGTTTTACCCTCAAAATTTTTCATTCGAAACGCTAAACGTACTTGGAAGAAAATTATAATAAATCAAAAAAATATATATTAAGACTTTAACACCCTGTAGCTACGAAACAAAGCAGAATGAGACGTATGTTGATATGAAAAATAAATCTTATTTTTACGTGAGGAATCTCCCCACGAGAGATGGCACATGTTTTTTGAAACACCATGTATATCACCTTCAATCGGGGTTGCCATAAGCTACACAATTGTGTACTTTGCTACACATTTGTTTCAATGATTGCACAGCTACACCAGAATCGCCTGAGCTACACATTTTGAGAATTTACCTATTTCGTATAAAAAAATAATATCAGAACAGTAAATCAGCTGACAAAAGCTGATTTTTTTGTTTTTAAGTTATCTAAGTTAGTACATCAAAAGAGGCCGCAAGTGTATTTTACTTTTTGAATTGCCAAATATCATTTTCCTTATCAGTGTTCAGGTGTTAAGTAAAATGAGTATGAACTGGGACATGAATCAAGGACCAATAAACAAGAGCCAAAAGCGATAAATAGACAGGATTGCTTAATCCCTTAAATAATACATAATACGTACTTTGGTCAAATTTCACTGCTCAATTATGTCAATGTAGTTCACAGTCTCACTTCCACTCGTCTGCATTCACGTATGCAAAGGAGTATTATTCAATGCCTATTTCACTTCCTCCAATGTCAACAAGGAGAGACTGCAGTTTCTATAGACCAATTTGGCCGATGAAACAGTCCTGAATAATTTACAGTTTTTAAACAGAATTAACCGGTCTAATTTGCCCATAAAATCATAGTTTCGCAGCATAAATATTGACGCCACTGCAAACCTTGCTGGCATAAGAAGAAATGAAATGGGAAATGAATATGTTGACGTATACAAACGAGTAGAAATGAGACTCGCAATCGCTTTAAAATTTGGCGAATTGGATTTGTCTTATTGGATAGTTTATAGTTATTGGTCATGGATGGCTACACAATTGTGGCAACCTTGCCTTCAATCATAAAGAGACCTAAAGTTTATTCAAAACGAACGCGCACCAGGCGTAAACAGATAACATGAGGCATGCACGTGAACAGTAGCGGGGTAGTACGTAACACTAGTCTCTCCAAAAAAATCCTTTATGGGTATTTCACAACTGCACTGCAAGAAAATCTACAAAATAAAATTAATAAAGTAAAATTTATACTATTTTATTTTGTAGATTTTCTTGCAGTGCAGTGGCGAAATATCCATAAAGGATTTTTTTGGAGAGATGAATCCGCCACACAGGTATAGACATTTTTTTGTAACACTAGTATATTACCAGGGCCGCACTAAGAGCCGATATTTCATTTTATAAAGAATTATTATTATGTCTATTTTTATGCAGTGTTTTATTAGATACTCTTTATGCTTTATGATGGAAATTTAAACACTACTTATAGTGCACGGCCACACAGAAAGAGTTTTTTGCGTTTTTAACGGGAAGCGTCTTTTGCGTCTAAAACAAAATAACAGGATTATATAGGAGTGGCCCCACCAATATCCTAATAAATGTAGTTTGAAATGTTGAAAAAGTAATAAATTAAAGGATTATTTTCTAAAAGTGTTTTTTTTCTGCGCAAAAAAGGCGTAAAAAAACGGAAACAAATAATTTTTTACGTGTAACAAATAGTTTTTTACACGCAAAAAATATTTTTTTTGCCTAAAAAAGTTTTTTACCAGAAACGATAAGTTTTTGACGCGTAAAAATTAGTTTTTTACGTGTAACAAATAGTTTTATACACGTAAAAAATATTTTTTTTGCATAAAAAAGTTTTTTACCATAAACGATAAGTTTTTGACGCGTAAAATAAAAATTAGTTTTTTACGTGGAACAAATAGTTTTTTACACGTAAAAAATATTTTTTTTTGCGTAAAAAAGTTTTTTTACCAGAAACAATAAGTTTTTGACGCGTAAAAAAATAGTTATTTACGTGTAACAAATAGATTTTTACACGTAACAAATAGTTTTATACACGTAAAAAATATTTTTTTTTGCGTAAAAAAGGTTTTCTACCAGAAACAATAAGCTTTTGACGCGTAAAAATTAGTTTTTTACGTGTAACAAATAGTTTTTTACACGTAAAATTTTTTTTTTGTGTAAAAAAAGTTTTTTTACCAGAAACAATAAGTTTTTGATACGTAATAAAATAGTTTTTTACGTGTAAGAAATAGATTTTTACACGCAACAGATAGTTTTATACGCGTAAAAAATAGTTTTGTATCAGTAACAAATAGTTTTATACGCGTAAAAAATAGTTTTTTACGTATAACAGTTTTATTCGCGTAAAATAATAAAAATAGTTTTTTACGTGTAACAAATGTTTTTTTATACGTAATAATTTGATTCACTTTTACAAAATTTGTATTAAAATATCAATATTTTTGATAAACACGTGGACTGCTCACAAATACACGTCGCGTCACTACGTATTTCTAAGCCGTTAACACGTTTCGTTACAAGTAGCTCGTGTCAGGGCCGTCTCGCTAGCTCGTACGTCACAGCCTTGAATGTTTACTTCCAGCGCGCGTAAAGAAGTTTCACTCCAAATTGCTTCATAAATCATGTCCTAAAATTGCGTTAGCATCTAGTAATATTTACTATTCTATTATATAATTATAATTATTTATTATATTATATTATAATTATAACAAGTAACCACAACACTACAACATAAAAAAATTATACACATATAAACTAAAATTCGTAAAATAAATGGCAAATATTAATTATTATTTTTACACACGCCACTGGCACTAGCAGTAGATTGTGTTTATCGCCGAATATATACTCGGATGTCCCGGCCCGTCCACAATTCAATCCCAGCATCTTTTATCTTCGTCTCTTCAACGCTAACCGCGCCGATCTCGCCTATCTCTTTCTCACAGGATTGATTGTTGAACGGGCCGGGAATTTACGAGCTTGCGAAGTTACTAATTGATATCTTGTGACATCGACCTGCCGCGTCATTTGTGTGTTTTAATGGACACAAATCGAAAAAAACGCTTCAAACGGTAAAATCGCAAAAAGCGCTTGAGACGCAAAAAACGCAAAACGATAAAAACGCTTTCTGTGTGGCCGTGGGTTTACACATTGGCATGACCAATTTTTACCACTTTGGTATCGTTTAAAAGGACTTAATTTGTCCTGAAATAATAATCTTTTTATTTTGTTCTACTATTTTTATCTCCATTATTGATAACAACATGTTATGATCTCCATTATTGAAAGGATAACGACAATATTTGAATGTCGTCATAAATAGATATCTGTATCTACCATACTATTTGCAAAAAATGCAATGATGTAAACATTTAATGTTATGATGAAAATAAATGTACAAATCACTATCAAAAAAATTTCTTTATTTGTTATCGGTTTCAGCTATTGGGTAGGGGGTTAAAATTCTTCAAAAAAGCCACACATAATTTATGGACGCCTCTAAGCTATATTAAAAAGACGTTCAAATGACGCTAAGGAAAAAACAACAAAGGTAACAAAGCGTTTATTACTTTTGATATAATTCGCGTTATTTTTTTCTCGTTTCGACTTTTTTGACATCGCATATGGTAAGGTATTGGCTGAAACGAAAAATACCTAGGCAATAGTTACAAATGTGATCTGTGGTGGTCGGACGCCACTGTCGTAAAGGGGAACCGGAAAATTATATCTATAAAATAGATATGCCTATACCTTTCTCCAACTCTGGACGTCAAAGAAGTAGTAAGTGCCCCTTTCGTACGTTGGAGTCTTTTCGAGAAGAACCATTCCGGGTACTTGCGTTATCCATACTTTCTCCTCCATATGATACCTCCATTCCCGACTGTACCTATTAACACATTTATTTTGTTCAATTGTACATCAACTTGTACATCTAAGACTATTTCAAGGCAAAGTACAATCTTCAAATTTAGAGTAAAATATATTTGAATCGCCCTGTATATCTCTGAAAATGATCTTTATATGTCCAATATGAATGGCTGCGTATTTTACAAAAAAAGTAGGAGTGAAAATCATGAATAGACAACGGGATTTAATTTTTTTTGAAAACTGTGTCACCTTATATAATATGACCAGAAAAAAAAACGACGTCAGCGATGGCTATGAAATAAAGATCGCTGTCATTTTATATGTAAAATTATATGGGGAATGTCATCGATCGTCATTTCAAAGCCATCTGGACGCCGTTTTTTTCGATCATACGGTATAATAGGGTTATACTTAATTAAAAATAATATTAAAACCCCCATAATAAAATTAAAACCAAATATATTATAAAATTTCAAATTATACAATGCGTTTGAACATATTTTGATACCGGAAAAAAAATTAGAGATATTTTATTAGCAGTTTGCTGAGATGAGAAGGCTCTTATAAATATGAAATGAAAATTATGAGAAACTATCAATCATTTCTTCTATATGTATCAAAAGATCGTGAACTCTACATCTATTTCTAAATCGTGTATACTTACAGTTCAGCAGCTGCCGCAATTTGAAGTACATCGCCTACACTAGTGTAAAACATAAAGAAAAGGAGATCATCTTTGTACCGGCTGAGCTTCATGGCGGCAAGTTTATCCCTATAAAAAAGTAAACAAGATTTTACAACATTTATACATGACCATGTAAAAATTACAATTTATATATTTTTATGTGTACAGGGTGTCCCAGGCTGAGCGTGAATTAGAAGTTTCTATAGAACTACAATATCTAGATCGGAGATTTTTTGCACATTATAGTTTCACGAGATCTATCGATTAAAAATATTTTCAATATGGCGGCACTTCCGGAGATACCGGAAGATGACAGCAACTCTCTTATTTTAAATGGATACCCTATTTTTTATTACACACTTAAATTATTGTTATGAATTTTGATATCAAATCAACATTAACCGTTTAATGTATCTAACATTAACCGTTTTTGAGATAAAAAAAAATATTTAAAATTTTTGGAGAAAAAAAACTGGTTCTCAAAAAAATTTGTATAGCCTAAACGTCAAATTTAGTGATTACCACAGCCACTGTGGCATAAAGAGAAGACATGTGGCTATCTATTTCAAAAATTAAATTGTTTGAATGTCAAATAATATCGGCCGTAGCTGTCATGGAATTGAGAGATTAAAAAACAATCAAAAATAATTTTTTTCATATGGAAACCTACTTTTTTATTTCATTGATGGAAAGTAATAAAATATAATAATAAAATTAATCGTTTTTAAGTTATTTAAGATTTAGTTTTAAAGCGTATATTTTTCTGGTTTTTAACCAGTAACCTATGACTTTAAACGTCAAGCGATATAAAACTATATCTGGCCATGTCATATTGCCATTAGATATCACCAAAATACGAGACGTATTTTTATAAATTCATTTTATAAAGTTTTAGCAGCAGTATTTATAATATACGAAATTCAGATAATTAGTTTTTTGACAGAAGGAAATAAATTTCTGATGGTTTGACACTTAAGGTCAAAGGAAACTAGATAAAATCAAGAAAAAATACGCTTTAAAACTAAATCTTAAATAACTTAAAAACGATTTATTTTAGATATAGGAACATATATAATCAAAAAGTAATAAATTGAAAAAGCTTTTCACTAGTGAGATAAAAAAAAGTGGGTTTCTATTTGAAAAAAATGAATTATGATCATTTTTTAATCTCTCAATTCCATGACATGGCCGATATTATATGACATTGAAACAATTTAATTTTTGAAATAGATAGCCCCATGGCTTCTTCTTATGTCCCAGTGGCTGTGGTAATCACTAAATTTAACGTTTAGGCTATAGGTACACAGTTTTTTTCCTGCAAAAATTTTAAATAATTTACACCCCCCCCCCTGTATATTTGACAAAACCTAGCTGAAGCAGTGAAAGGAATGCGGGCAAAAAAAATCAATGTCAAGTTAACTATACAAAAGCAAAATTGTTTTTAGTGTCTTGTCTTAAAGTTTTCTTTAACTTCTACAGTTTTTTTTCGATTTATTATAAGTTTTTAAAGAAGATGATTTTTTTTTATTTAAATATATGATTAAAATAAAAATATCCGTTGATTTAAATCGCGATTTAAATCTTGATTTAAACCTTATGGTTACAAATTACAACACTATAGTAAACGCCACGAGTGTTTGGGAATCACTCCCAAACATTCGGGAGTGATTCATCGGTCGCTACCATGTGAACTAATCTGTTCAAGGTCACATGAAACTTAATTCCAGTGCCGTGGTGTTTCAAGTCATATAATAATCAATATATAATCTGTTGTAATTTGTTGTTTTACCTGTCAAAGTCTTGTCAAAACATATATTTGGTTATAAATATAAAATGGAATGCCCCATTGGTCGCACTGCAAGCACACCAATGGACTGACGCACAAAAACGAATCAATCAAAGAAACGCGATATAGTATCGTCTTTGTCAATCACGCTAACATTTTAGAATAAGTAGGAGGAGCGCAGGCAGATGATTAGATCGGGCTTTAAAAACCTACGTCTGCGGTAAAAATTAACGTTTTTAATGTAAAAATGATAGTGCGCATGTCGATTCTAACTTCATCAAGTGATGAATCACTCCCAACCATTCGTGGCGTTTACTCTATTATAGTACGGATCAGGTAAGAAATAGCCACAAGCGTCATGCCACCAACAATCACCTTCTCTCTCGAGTCAATCACGGATGCGCTTGTACAAGAGAGGCAAACGATGCCTAGGTGATGACACTCGTAGCCTTTTCTCAGCTGATCCGTACTCTAACAATAAATCATACTGACCTGATCGCGTGGTTGATGAGGTACTCCGGCGGCACGTGGAAGTCGACGTCCTGCGGGCGGCAGGGATGGTCCGCCCAGGGGCCGCCGAACGAGGGGTAGAGGTTCTCGGGCGAGTTGAGATTGAGCCCGAGCGCCGTCAGGTCCTGGCCCAGCGCTAGGGAGACTAGGTTGGGGTCAGATTCGGCGGCGCGGATGAACGCCAACAGGCCCACCACCCCGAACTGGTCAGATACCATGTTGGCGGGGATGTTGCTCACTCGGCCGTCGGGCGTCGATCGGATGCCACCTGAAAGTCATACTCAATACATACAGTATGTCCCAGGATTGTCTTTACAAGAGAAACACTTTTTTATTATTGACATTTTGAGAAAAATGCATTCTTAGATATCTCAGATAAAAAGAGAAAAGTGAAACGGAAACGACAATTTTACGAAACCAGTGATAATGAAACTCTATTTAACGCTAGGGACGATTTTAGGATAAATGTATTCAATGTTATTATTGATAAATTAATTCTTGAAATTTCCTATACAGGAAAAGTGCCTACAATGACTTTTCAACCAAATTTTGTTTCTTTAGTGATTTATTTACTTTAAGTATTGACGACATTACCGATAAGTCCAGACATTTAATAACCTGTTATCCAAATGATTTAGATGAGTCAATGCCTAATGAATTAATACATTTTCGTGAATTTTTAAAATGCATTAAGTCAGCAAAACCATCTGCTAGAGAGCTTCTTAAAGTAATTTATGAAAAAAACGCTCAAGACCTGTTTCCAAATACTTTCATAGCATTCAGAATCTTAACATGTACCTTTATTACTAACTGTTCTGCTGAACGCTAGTTTTCTGCATTGAAACGTATTAGAACTTATTTACGGTCCACTATGGAAAAAGAACGTCTAAATCATTTGGCAGTTTTACATATTAAGTCCTTTTTAAACTTTTAAAACCTTATAAAAACGATTACGAAAATTACGATGAAGTAATTGATAATTTTGCGAACAAAAAAGTACGTAGGAAACCTTTGTAGGCATGCATATAAGCAAACCTTATAGTTTTGTTGTTCGTTGGTTGTCATTTTATATGAATATTTTAATATTTATTTTATGTTCTGTGTTGATCTGTTCTGTCGGTCTATTCTGTTATTGGTCCTGTATTCAAATAAATGTTTTTTATATCCGTAATTTTTTTAATTAAAAAAATTGTTAAGGGACGGCAATTTTTTTTGGCCTGGGGCGGCAACTTCGTTAAATCCGGCCCTGATTGTAGATATGGTAGTCATATACATATAAAAAAATATGCTGCGAATATACAGCATAAATTCTTGTCCCAATATAAACATACAGGGTGTCCCAATATTCCGTGGACATCGAACTACTACATATATTTGGAATCAAAATAAGCTCATTATTAGACACAATTCAACCTCTATACAAAAGTGCCTAGTTTGTCCACAACAACGAGGCCATCAAACTTTAAAAAATTATACACATTTTAATGGAGGACTGTTCCGATTTGAATGAGATTTGGCGTGTTTATGTTTTGCTAAGCTCTTTAACATTTGACTTTCACAAAAATCAAGAAAAAGTACGGAAAAGGTGAAAATTCCCTTACTCCTACATAAATTTTATTAGAAATATTTTCCAATTCCACGGAAAGCTGATTTTTTTTTTGTAAAATAGCCCATCTAGTATTTACTACATTTTTTGTCTCTTGTAAGAAAACGCTACCGTGCATAATATACATTTTTTCGAAGCTGACTTATTAAAAATATTTCTCGTCGCATCAACTTATGTAGGCTCTTAAAATATGTGTAGTGTATGCACTTATACTCTAACACACATGATATTTCAGAATAAGCTTCATAAATTTTAAATTTATACGAAGCGTTTTTTATCCGTCCAATTTTTCTTCAACTTCAATTTCAAATAAAACATTTGATTTGCAACTGTCCAATCAAAGCGCTCACAACTAGCACATCGTAAGGTAGAACGTTACGAGCAGACAAAGCGTAACACTTACCCGTTTGCTTGTTACCAGTCTTGTCCATAGAAATGTTGCCCGACTGCGCCGCCGTCTGCTGCGCCTGTCCGTCGACTCCGCCCTCCTGCGCGCTCTTCTCGTCCGATTGGCTGCCGGCCGGCGACGCGCCCTCCATCCGGTTCTGCGTGCCGGGCAGCGCGGGGAAGTCCTCGTTCGACATGGTGAACTCGCTCGACTCGGACGTCGGCTGAAACGTCACATTTCGATTCGATTATTTTAGTCTAAGATCCGGCTGCAGGACTAGTACGTTCATCACGTAGTTAATAAAAAGATGTTACATATACCGTATGATCGAATAAAAACGGCGTCAGCGATGGCTATGAAATGAAGATCGCTGTCATTTTATATGTAAATTTATACGGGAAATGTCATTGATCGTCATTTCCAAGCCAACTGGACGCCGTTTTTATTCGATCATACGGTATTTATGAATGGGGAATACACTTTTAACAGGGTGTCAATCAAAAAGTGCCCGCCAATATGTTTAATTAAATTAATATTAATTGATTTTCGAGAAGAAATTACGTTTATAACGTACAGGGTGTCCCATTTTCGTGTGTTTTACGGGGTATCTCTCGCTTATGCGTAGAGATACAAAGACGCGGTTTTCACATCACTGTGCTACTTTCTTATGAAACTAATGATGCTATCTGCTATACAATATTTGTCCTAGCCCTCATAGTTCCTGAAATACAGGGCGAAAATGTTGCATTTTTCGACCCCTCTTCATATATCGGTTATCTTATATTATCGAAAAGGTAAAAACTGAGACCAGTAGACATTTTCACGTAGAACCCAGTGGCGTAACTAGTTTTTCATTGAAAGCTGTTATTCTCGAAATATAACCTAAATATTTGTGAAGCATTTCGGTACGGTAAAAATTATCAGTGACGCAAAATTTGTTAATTCTATCAGAAAAAATGATAATACATACGGTGTACCATTTAAAAATTTGAGATTACTTAATTTTAAACAGTCGAAATTCATAAATCATAGCTAATAACTGGAAGTCGGGCGAGCCTACCAAAAACACGTCGCGAGTTAGCCGCGAGATTTTTTTGATCGGCCGTCGAAAAACCGACAGGGGACGGATAGCAATGAGGCTTCGTGGGCAGTCTCGCGAGGTTCTCGCGAGACCCGTCCACACTTAGCGAAATTTGAATGTCTCGCGCTTGGCTCCTCAGGTCTGACGCACCATAAGCCGCCTCGTGTGTCCTCACCGTAAGTGTTGTCTAGTATTATCCTTATTAACTAAAACTTAGTTTAGGTAGTAAGACGGAGAGTAAAACCTTCGTTCGCGCAACATTCTCTTAATTTTAAACAATCTTTTCACTACTATTTAGAAGAATCAGTAGAGGTATTTTGGGGGAATTGTTAATAAGTATTTCTGCGAGAATTTAGTGAGAATTGTAGGAATTATAGGCAATTAAGAATAATTAAGAGGAATTACTAGGAATTAGCAGGCATTCTTAGGCATTATTAGGTATTATGGGGAATTGTGGGAATTACGTAGGAAATGTCAATTTAATTACCAAATTAGGCATTCGTGTACAAAAATTTGATCAGCGGTTTACCCCTTGAATATACCCTAAACTTATTTTCATAAATAAGGTAAAAAATATATTTTTTGACTTTTTAACATAGGCAGCCGGTTTATAATAGATAGTCATGACAATTAAATAAAATTTATTGAACGTCAAATTTTGGCTATTGTCTTTTCCATGCTAGTTTCCGTGTTTTTTGATTCACTATAGGTACTAAACATGACAACGAAGATTCTGATGCTGCAGCAGAGCTCTATTTGAACAGGTAGGTTACTAGGTACAGGTATCCTTGTAATTAAAATATTGTAATTTATCGTATTCCAGATATCCCGAAAGAAGACAGCCAGATAAGCGCATATTTCGGAAAATAGAGAGCAACCTAATTCAATATGGATGTTTTAAAAAACCCAGATTAAAAAGGTATAACAAAGAAAATGAAGAATCTGGGGTAAATGTTTTGGGATCAGTTGAAGCCACACAGAGACATCTTGTAGATGCATAGAGGAAGATGTGGGTGTATCTAAAACCAAACTGTAAAAAATTTTAAAACAATGTTTAGCAAATAGTATGAGCTTTAGTTTATTTTTTGAAATAAAAAGTTTTGTAGAAAATCATGTTTTATTTTAAGAAGTTTTGAGTAGGAGTATTTATAAGAAAATCAGAAATACTATCATAGCCTTTATATAATTTCTGGAAAAACCTTAATGTTTGAGCGAGGTTTGAAAAAATGTTTCGCCTGTAGCATATACATATAACTAAATATACTCAGTGTTCACTATTTAACCCCGTGTGCTGTTTCCGTGCCATAAAAAAAAGACAACATAGCTCCATATTAATGCTGCATAAGTCTATTTCACCCGGATATCGATTGAACTGCGATTGCGCCAAACTCCGATTGATTGTTGTTTTAGTTCTGTTTGGATTACTTTTTATTTGTGCGCGGAAAAAAGTAATTTTGTTTAGTTTATTCTTTCCAACTATTTTTTGATATTTTTCCATATAAACTCCATGATAATGTGTTATAAATAATAAAAATTTAAATAAAATTGAAGGTTAGGTGAAATGTCAGCCAATCACTTCAATTCAAAAACACCGACCAATGAAAACTTCTTCAGGTAAGGCATGCAAAGTTAAATGAATATCCGGGTGAAATAGACTTTTGCAGAATTCCATATTTCTCTTTCACTGTTTGGGCTTCACTTTTTAGAGATTAGGCTGACTATATGTAGTTATATGTATATGGCCTGTAGCTCTTTTTTAACCCCTTGTTCTCTATTTTTAGTTTGAAAGTTGGCAATCAAATATAAAAGCTGCATAGGCTCATTTTCAGTGCAGTTTATGAAAAAAAATGACGGAAAGCAAAATTACTTGGTTAAATAAAATAAAATAAAATAATACTCTTTTAAAACTATATTTTAAACACTCGAAAAATGTATTTTTTTACCTTATTTATGAAAATAAGTCTAGGGTATATTATATTTTTAGAAAGCTCAAGACAAAGCAAATTTAATAAAAAAATAATATACAGGATGTCCCATTTAAAAAAAACAAAAGTTCAGGTTATATTTCGAGAATGACAGATGACAGCTCCCAATGAAAAACTAGTTACACCACTGGATTCTATGTGAAAATGTCTACTGGGCTCAGTTTTCACCTTGTCAATAAGTTATGAGATAATCTAGATACAAAGGGGGTCAAAAAAGGCAACATTTTCAAATTCACCCTATATTTCAGAAACCAAGGGGGCTAGAACAAATGTGTGTAGCATCTTTAGTTCCATAAAAAAGTAGCTAGTGATATGAAAACTGCATGATCTACTCATAAACAAGAAACACTTTAAAACAGATGAAAATGGGACAACCTGTAAAGGTCTGGCATTATAGATATTATACAATATAGCTTACGACCCATACAGGAAATGATACAAACAAATTTGTTTATAGATAATGTTAGGTAGAGGTGATTATTTTAATTTTTATACCTTTTGTTTTACACTTTTTTACTAAATAGTTGAAAAGAAAGAGTTTTCCTTGTTTTTTAATCGAAAAAAACACCTACCTACTAGAGACACAGAAATCCTAATGAAGCTGTATTTTACAGCTCAATATTTCTACAGGGCGTTAGGGTTTTTAAGGAATAAATATATTATTATTCACCTGCTTGACCATTCCAACATAGGGTTTCGCACCAGGCATGGGACTCGGTTGTGGTACATCTCCCGAATTTCGGTTAGTTAACGATGGAAATTCACTAAGGTCTAACAGTGAGGGAGTGTTCGCATCGCCCGATCCAAAAACAGAATTAAAGGAACTGTAACCGCCCAAACTGTTCATCGATGCATTAATATTACCCATTTGGTTCGAGTTGCTAAAAAGTAATAAACACACTCAGTAAATTCTTAAGTATAACACAAGGCAAATTTGGCTTACAAATTTAAACAAACATTCATTTGAAAAAATCTCAATATACAGATAAGAACGATGTTAATATATAAATTATGAATAAAGGCACATTTTAAACATTTTCTCACTAATTATTGCTTAATATCAATTAGAAACACAGCATAAACAATAAATATAAACATCTATGTGACAATTACACTTCATTTGATGTAGGTTATGTTAATTCAATAAAATTATAACAAAAAAAATCGTTTTTATTTCTATCAACTTGATTTCGTAGTATCAATTTTTTTATGAATGGTTTAGACTTGACGTGAATTGTTTTTCGAAAAAATCTTTGAGAATATTCAGTTATATTTCCGTCTAGATTAACAAAAACGAATTTACTTACCCCATTGAAGGAATGGTCCTTCTTTCCGACGGTGGTCTTTGACCAAAAACTGGAGTAACATGTCCCGACACAGAGTTACTGGGAAAACTAACACTAGATCTGCCGAGGCTGTTACCTCCTATGTTTCTTGTAAAGTTCAAATTCGCCATGGCTATCTGTTTAATACAGCCCAGCAGCCACTTTTTCGCATAACGACCGCCCGCCGCCGGAGATCAGTTTTTAGCACTTTTTTTCGCGATGAAAAATACAAACATATTAATTAAAAAGTAGACTAAATGTAAATGCGACCTGGAGATGGTTCGGTTGAGAGATCGGTAGCGCGCCACTAAAGGTTGACGGTTGTTGGTCCTATAAAGTTTTTTTTTGCGGGATTAATATAATTAACAGTTAAACGATGTTTGCAACAATTTCTCTGTAAATAAATGTTATTGTCCATCTGAATTCCGCCATTACTATTACATATCTGTCAACAGTGTCAGTGATTGTCAAAAGATTTGCTGTTCAAAAAACAGTTCTCTTTTGTATCGAAAGAGCAATAACAATAATTAATAATTTTTTTTTCTACTCCAACATAGATAGCATCTTTGATGAAAAAATTATCTATAGCAAATAATTATATATGATCTGTAATAATCTGTAGCAAAATATGAGCAAAATTACACCAAATTCAAACCAAACCAAACCAAAACACAACTGTTAAAATTTTAAACAGATAACTGCAGTTAACAGATTTTAGGTTATTTCTAGGTTATTTCCCGAGTTATTATTTTAGATAGTTATTTTATTATTATATGAAGCCGCGGATTCAAATAAATTGCTAATTAGATGGATAGATAAGTGAGAGATTAGATATCTGATGAGGTTATTTTAATCTTATTCATGAAATAATATAAAATCAGGTATCCCTTTATGCTTATATCATAAAAATATGGTAAGTACCTGATAAAGTACCTATTTTTAGATATTTAAATTAACATTTTCCCATCTTAAAGAATGAATTTTCACCCCAGTTGCATTACTTCAGGAACTTTTGGCCATAATTTCTTACTCATAAGACAGATTTTTTTTATACAAACATTCTCCACTAATTTCAGCAGTTAGGGGATGAATTGCCAAGAATCAAGAATCGTTTCTTAATTCTGAATTACTACTTGAGGAACCATTTTTGAAAATATTTATCCAAACTTTTACCCCCATAGGTTAATTATTTAAACAAATTTTTCCCAAATCTTCCCTAATTTTATCTTCTGTGTTGAATCTCCCAAAATCACTTCTTAGTGCTCACTTATGTCAATTGAGGAAGCATTATGCCAAATTTTGTACTTCTAGGCCAAGCTGTTTATGCTGTGCATTGATACCTAAGTCAATCAGGATTGAGTTTGATATATAGATATTTATTTTATATATGTTTTTACAGTTTGCAGATCATGATCCCAAGGAAATATACAAATTACATTCCTACGTAAATGATACAGACGACTCTTCAACAAATTCAGATGAAAGTGATGCATTATTACAATTTAAACCTGCACTTTATACCTACGAAGAATTATCAGATGCTATTATTATTGAACCAGAGGGTTGTTATATATGCATAGCTAAGTTAGTATCGCCACACATTGCTACATCTCATTATAACTCAAAGAAGCATAAACGTAATATTGCGGCACACTGTGTTTTAAATAATCTAAAAAGTAAACAAGGTAGGTACACTATAATATGTCTAAATAAGTCAGTATTTTTATTATTACATTTTATGTAGATATAGAAGCGATAGTAAAGGAAAAAATAGAGAATTTGACACTACCAGATTACTGTTATATATGCAAAGCTAATTTAATGTTGCCAGACAATGCTACATCTCATTATAACTCGAAGAGGCATAAAAATAATATTACGGTGCACAGAGATGGGATTTTAAATAACCTAAAAAGTGAACAGCAAGGTATATATAAGGGCGCGTCTTCACCGGTTGCGCCGCGCAAAACATTTTTTTAAAGTTCACTGCATAGTCCTTTGCATTCAAAGTGGACACCCAGTAGCGCGCACAAACGCGCACCAAAACCGAGGTTCGTGCGCGTTTTAGAGCAGTCGGTTTGAATCGAAAAAAAACGGTGTCAGCGATGGCGATGAAATGAAGATCCCTGTCATTTTATATGAAAAATTATATGGGAAATGTCTTTTTTTCGACCATACGGTACAATAAACAAGAGATAAGATCCTTGGCGGTAGCATATCGGTTCGCCGTGCGCATGACGTCACCTTGGTAGTAATTATGGAGTCTAAACCACAAAATAGAAATTTCTATTTTGTGTCTAAACTTTGAGTCTAAAAGGAGGAGGCGAATCGAACGCAAAAATTTTGGGCCCAGATTTCATGATCTAAATGAAGTTCGAAAATCGCCGTTAGGGGCGCAAGTGATCAAAGAGATTGATACATATTTATATACAATACACAGCTTCTTATGGCAAGAATTACTATTTTGTTATAAATTATAGAGTTCAGTTAATATTTGGGCATATTTTTACCAGATTTAGCTTTTAGAAACGTGTTTTTTTCTAATTGAACAATGTGCGTGGCTAAAATTGTGAATACAAAACCTTAAATTTGAGTTTGAAAAGTAAGTTAGAAGTTAGGTTATATCAGATGCCGGTTTTAGATATTCTTTTCAAGTAGTTATTATAAAATTGTTTCATTATATGGTTCTTTTTAGTGCACACACGGCCGAAGAAAAATATAAGCTGCTAAAATAAATCTTCCGAGAACTGTTGTACAAAAAAGATAGAAGTTCCAGCAACAAATATCCCACCAGTTCAACCTTTGATTTGATGTGTAAACAGTAATTGTTTCCAGACTTGTTTCTTGATGACAAGAATTAAATAGTTTATGGTGTGTTTGTGTTAGTGATTTATTAATAGTTTTTCATAAAAACATTTAAAATTGATATGTTTACATGCAGTTCAGTGTGATTCCATTATAAAAACATTAAAAACTTTCGAAAACAAACTAGTAGTGGTTTCGGCGAATTGACAGAAACTGAATCACGAAAATTAAAAAGTATTTTATCAGGAATAACTTCAATGGAAAGTGAAGATGAACACTACTGTTGCACCAGCTGAAACCAGAGAATAGGTACATTAAGCTGAAATGTTTCCTGTGTCCAATAGTGTTTTTCTTTTAGATTTTCTGAATTTAAGTTTAATGTCATTAAGTTTTGCAAATTGTCACTGTTTTTAGTGAGACAATTAAATTCAAGATGTATTATATTCAATGTCATCTAATAATTGTAAAGGTAAATTTTCGTAAATAAAATATTAATGAATAAAAATGAACTCAATTTATTTCAAAAGAGTTAAGTTAAAATTAATCTGTGCACTGACAGTATATAATTTGAATGTTTTTCTTAACATCTATCCATATTTTTTTAATTAATTAGTTATACCACTTACATTAGGACCTTTGAAAAGGCTTGGGTTTCTTTCACCCCGTTCTTTATTTGCCTTTTTTTCACCGTAAGTTCCACCACTTGCAAGCACACCAATGGACTGACGCACAAAAACGAATCAAAGAAACGCGATATAGTATCGTCTTTGTCAATCACGCTAACATTTTAGAATAAGTAAGAGGAGCGCAGGCAGATGATTAGACCGGGCCTTTAAAAGCCTACGTCTGCGGTGAAAAATTACGTTTTTAATGTAAAAATGATAGCGCGCGTGTCGATTCTAACTTCATCAAGCGATGAATCACTCCCAAACATTCGTGGCGTTTAGTATATAATTTTTCAGTCCCTACCCCGCTAACGGGATAATTAAAAAAATATGTTTTTTATATTATGTACTTAAGTAATTTAAAAACCCTGCAAATTTTTTGCTTAAAAAATTATACAGGGTGTTTCAAAAAGCATGCGCCATCTCTCTGTAAAAACATGATTTATTTTTTATATCAACCGATCAACCGTCCGATTCTACCATCTTTCGTAGCAACAGGTTCTTTTTTATTTATTATAATTTTCTTCCAAGCTCTTCTAACAATTCGAATAAAATTTTGAGGGTAAAAGTTGCTATAAGTGCGACATATCTTAATGCTAAAAAAGTGTCGGCAAATTCAACAAGGACGATCATATGGGTTATCACTGCAATTGATTTTTTTCTCTTTTTAACAAAATTGTGGAGACGTTTAATGTCGACGAAAAATTGTCTCTTGCTATTTTGTCAGTTTCGGCCTTCTTGATGAGATAAGTACAATTTTATTAATTACAATTAATAAATTTAAAATAAAAATAAAACTAATATTTTTTTTAAGTATTTGTGTATATTAAAACTGATGTTTAGGGCTATTTACAGCTAATTCAAAAAAATATTGGTTTTTATTTAAGATAATTACAAAAGACCTATTTTTAAATGCGCGGCCGGTGTGGACAGAACAACAAGAGCGTACGGATAAAAGCGCGATATACAGTGGTGGCCAAAAGTATGAAAACTTTTTTAATTTGTCATTTATGCTGAGAAATTAAAATATGAAATAAAACGACTTATATAATCGTGACCTACAAATAATTTCCTACAAAACCTAATACATTTAAATAAAAAATTACAGCTATCAAAAAATATATAAAAAATTATGCATATTTTCTTGGTCAAAAGTATGGAAACTTAAGAAGAATGTTTATTAAAATTCAAGATAATATAAAAATTACTAATATTTAGTGGAATATCCCTTTGAATTAATTACTTCTCTACATCTTCGTGGCATAGAATCGATCAATCTCGTACAATCTTTACTGGAAATGGCCGCCCATTTAGTTTTTAGCACCCATAATTCATTTTTATTTGAAATAGAATGGCTTCGAATTTTGCTATCCAAATGGTCCCATAAATTTTCTATGGGGTTAAGATCCGGAGACTGTGAGGGCCAATCCATTAGTGGAACATTATGTTCATTTAACCAATTTTGAACAAACCGAGATTTGTGCTTGGGATCATTGTCTTGCTGGAACAACCATCTGAGTGGCATCAGCATGAGGCAGCATATTATTCTCCAATATGTCTTTGTACAAAAAACGGTCCATTATCCCATCAATTTTAACAAGAGGACCAACACCTGAGCAAGAAAAACACCCCCATACCATTATACTCCCACCCCCATGTTTTACTGTGGGCATCTGGTACTTATGGCTGTACCGTGTACCTTTTGGTCTTCGGACATAACGTCTCCCGTCACTACCAAACAGTTGAAACTTGCTTTCGTCGCTAAACAGTTCAGTATTCCATTTCTGATAAGACCAGGTGAGATGATCTTGACCAAATTTAAAGCGGGCCGTCCTATTTTTCTTTGATATTAGTGGTTTCTTCACCGCAACTCTTCCAAAAAGTCCCATGTCATCCAACCTTCTTCTCACCGTGTGTGCAGACACCGATATTCCTCTTTCACCCATTTCTCGAGAAATGTCTGTGGATGTTTTTCTTGGATCTCCCATTGATACTCTCTTCATTACTTTCATTGTCCTGTTGCACAACTTTCTTGGTCTTCCTGACTTAAAAGCTGTTGAAACGTTCCCTGTTTTATTAAATTTACGAATTATTTTCGTAACGGTGCCTTTTAAAATGTTTAAATTTTTACTTATTTGAATTTGTTTATAACCGCTCTTGTATAATTCAACTATTTTATTTTTTAAATCCGCAGAGAAATATTTAGACTTGGGCATGATGTTTATATTTCTCTGAAGCAAATCGTACCGTTTATCAGCTTAAACTAAATAATTTTAATGTATTTATTTATGGTTTCCATACTTTTGGCCACAAGAAATCTATTGTTCTCCTACAAAAACTGCTAAACAGATTTTTTTCGCTGTGTAATTTTTGGAATACTTTTATTTGCTGATAAGCTGTTCATTTATATTCCTGAGAGTTTAAGCATAGCAATATTTTCTGTGATATTTTAAAAAGTAAAAAGTTTCCATACTTTTGGCCACCACTGTATGTTGAAGCGGTTAAAGAAATGTTTTGCGCAGCGTGGCGAGTCGGCGCAGCCGGTGTGGATGCGCCTTATTATAATATGGCTAAATAACCTACTATTTTTGTTACTACATTTTATATTGATCTAGAATCGATAATAAGGGAAAAAATAGAGAATTTGACATTACCTGATTTTTGTCATATATGCAAAGCTAATTTAACGACATCAGAAAATGCTACATCTCATTATAACTCGAAGAAGCATAAAAGTAATATTGCGGTGCGCAGAGATGAGATTTTAAATAACCTAAAAATTGAACAGCAAGGTATGTATAATATAATATGTCTAAATAACGTACTATTTTTGTTATTACATTTTATGTTGATCTAGAAGCGATAGTAAAGGAAAAAATAGAGAATTTGATATTACCTGATTTTTGTCATATATGCAAAGCTAATTTAATGACATCAGACAATGCTACATCTCATTATAACTCGAACAGGCATAAAAGTAATATTGTGGCACACAGAGATAAAATTTTAAATAACCTAAAAGTTGAACAGCAAGGTATGTATAATATAATATATCTAAATGACGTACTATTTTTGTTCTTACATTTTATGTTGATATAGAAGCGATAGTAAAGGAAAAAATAGAGAATTTGACACTACCAGATTATTGTTATATATGCAAAGCTAATTTAATGGCGCCAGGCAATGCTACATCTCATTATAATTCAACGAAGCATAAAAGTAAAATTCAGGCGCACAGAGATGAGATTTTAAATAACCTAAAAAGTGAACAACAAGGTAGGTACACTATAATATCTCCGTACTTGGGCGCCGATTTCATGGGTCTTTGAAGCGTCGTAACGCGACTCCTATGTGAACTAGGACGTTGAGACTCGGAAGGTATCTTTTGTAACTTGAGTGAGTTAATCACACTGTGAGTTAATTTTGACATAAGAAACGTCAAAAGTTGATGTCGTCCGATCGCGACCAAATTTGGTGGGTAGATTTTGATGTGAATAACGGTGCTCACGGTCCCACCCTGCAAAGTTGGATACGACATTTCGTTTATATCTTCATCAGGGTGGGACTAACGATTTGATATTGACGAAAAATGTGGGTCGATTTCGGCATAATTGGGGACGGGCTACAGGATGACGCCCTCGACGTTTCGAACGGATGCCTCTAAATGGACTAAATCATCAGGATTTTTTATAATTATGGGTCCATTGGAACCGAACTCGGCACGTGGATAGAGGTACCCGAAGATTTTTTTTTTGTGGGGAAAATCTGCAAACCAGAGACCGTATGTGGTACTGTCGGGGTGATCGGGGTACCTTACCGACTAAAAAACCTCCACAAGCCGCTTTGAATATCTTCCCGATGAATTACCTTTCGGCATTACTTCTCGAGGAGGCGGTTTTACTGCGATGTTTTAGTTACATCGTCTAGCTTCTTTCTCTTTTGCATCTATTAGTGTCTCCATAAAAGTGTGGACACTATTCCAATTTTCTGGGGATCGAATCATCTCTGGAACTAGATTGGTAATCTTAATTTTTAGGGCTTTTAGTTTTTCGTATAGAACTCTTCGTTCAGCTGTCCATCGGTTACATTCCAAAAGGGTATGCTCCACAGTTTCAGCATCGCCATAGAGACATCTCGGGCTTTACTTTAACTTTATTTTATGTAGGTAATACCTGAAACAACCATGGCCAGAAAGGAATTGACTCATGGCATAGTTCATTTCTCCATATTCTCTATTTATTCAACACTCTAGGTTCTTTATAAGTGTTCTAGTCCATTTACTTTTCCCATATCTGTTTTCACTCCATCTTTTACACCATATTTCCAGAACTCTATTTCTACTTTCTTCCGCTGTTCTTCCTGAATGTTCTTGCCTTTCCATTCTTTCTTCAAATTACTATGTCTATCGGGGCCATTGAGCTCAGAACTTGTGCAGCCTCCGCAGATATTGTCCTGTATCCACGACATACTCTTAAGGCCAATCTTCGTTGCGCTGCAAGAAGTTTCTCTCTATGACTCCGAACTTTGCAGGTTTCTCCCCAAATTTCGGATCCATACAGAATTGTAGATGCTTGTACAGCAGCTAGCACTCGGCGTTTCGTTTGACCCAAGGTAGACCAGTTTGGCATAATTTTAGGCAACCAATATTACACCAGTTGCGATTTGCAATCGCAGTGGGCACGCGAACGAAGAACTGCGAACGAAAATCACAGCATTGCGATTTTCGTTTGCACCGGCGGTGCATCGACACGGCACTGAGAAGCCGAACGATGAGCTGGGAACGAAAATCGCAATATTGCGATTCTCGTACGCACCGGCTGGCGGCGGCGCGTCATCAACACGGCAGTGGGCAGGCGAACGAGGAGCTGAACGAAAATCGCAGCTCATCCCAACATTGCGATTGCGATTTTCGTTGGCACCGGCGGCGCGGCATCGGGAGTGGGCACGCCAACGAAGAGCAGCGATTGTGATTTTCGTTCGCAGCTCTCAACACATCGGCCTAGACTAGATCGCAAAATCACATTCGCAATCATGGCCCCGTAATTTTTATGAAGCGTTGGAAAATAGGCTTATACATATATGTTTATATACCGCATAATATATATGTATAATTTTTTAGTTTTAAATTTTGATAATAGTTTTAGATTTATAATATAATTATGGATTTAGAAGGTTAAAAAATTCTTGTTTTCGGTTATGACTAATTATAGTTACAGTTGCTCCCAGGTAATGATTCAGGTAAAATAATTCATTCAAGGACAGTTTTGGAATCAAATTATAAAAAATTATCTATTTTTATCCTTTATTTACTAGAAGATATAGAGCACGAAAAAGAAACAGCCCTTTCTCTTTATTATATTTTGTTATATGTATATTATATTATTATAAACATTTTTATAACAATCCATAATATAATATAATTTTCTGAACAATTGTGGATCGGCTGCTATGTTAATTTAAATACATCCTTTACAATCAGTTTTTTCATTTTAGAGAAATTTCAAATATAATAAAATGTGATATTGTCCTTTTATTTATCTAAAAGTTCGAAAGTTTGCACTTGCACTGGACGGGCCGTATCAAAGCCGTCGGCGTCGGCTTCTTTTGAGTTACATATAAAGAAAATGTTTTTAAAAGAAAAAAAGATAAAATAAACAGTTTTTTTCTCGTTATCTGAATTAAGGTTGGCGGCAACCTTTTTTATAATAAATTTTTCGTTAGTATACCTACAGACTGTCTAAAAGCACATTCGAATATTTTGAACATTTTATGTATTTTTTTCCCTGTTAAATTTATTCGGTCTATTCTTATCAAAAATGTTTAAAAAAGGAAACTAAGTTATTTGTGGTTTGGTTTGGTTTGGTTTTTTTTGTAATTGATGAAAATTTTAAGTGCAATATGTGTGCAGAGCAAAAATATAATAAAAAACACTTTAAAAGGCATATGGCATCGAAACACCCAACAGTTTCTTTGTAAGATTTTATTAAAAAAAAGTATTCCCCTATTTATTCCGTTTTTTCTTGAGCTTCCCAGTTTACAGCGTATCAATTTAAAAATATCAAAATCGCAATCGCAGGTTACAGTCGCAGCGATTTACAAATCACAATCGCAGTTTCAACTGCGATTGGAAAATCGCAGTTTTGCTCATCTCTACCTGTATCCACGACATACTCTTAAGGCCAATCTTCGTTGCGCTGCAAGAAGTTTCTCTCTATGACTCCGAACTTTGCAGGTTTCTCCCCAAATTTCGGATCCATACAGAATTGTAGATGCTTGTACAGCAGCTAGCACTCGGCGTTTCGTTTGACCCAAGGTAGACCAGTTTGGCATAATTCTGGATAACATGGCCCCCTGTTTTTCTACTTTCAAAACTGTATGGCGGATATGCTCAGAAAAGCCTCCTCCCGCTTGGAAAACAATCCCCAAATATTTTATTATTTTCTTTGGTACAATTATATTTTCTTTCACATGAAAACGTACACTGCGTGATTCTTACTTCGGTTACCAACCAGAATAACTGCCTCCGTTTTGTGCGGCGCTATTTCTAGTCCCACCTCACTCTGAGCACACCTGCTCCGATGCTCTTTCCGCAGTTCTAACGAGGTCTTCGGTACATTTAGCCTTTACCATCAGCGCAACATCATCTGCATATGCTACGACTTCTACTTCTGCTGGGTATTCCATACGAAGGAGTCCATCATACAGTAAGTTCCATAGTAAAGGACCTAGTATATATCCCTGAGGTACACCTTTAGATAATTTAACTTCTGCATCCTCTGCAATAACGCATCTTTCGCCTAGATAAGCTTTTATATTTTCCACTAAATATAAACTTATTTTCCAATGATATGTAAGCTCATTGATTATATTTTCCCAGTTAGCCATGTTGAAGGCATTTTTTACATCCAAGGTAATCAACATAAGGATATCTCTGTTTGACGAGCTAATATTTTTTAGTACTCTAATTACCTGAGACACATTTTTAAGAGGATCAATTGTACTGAATTTTTTTAGGAACCCGTACTGCCTCTCATTTAAACCACCCTTTAGCTGTATTTCAGTTTCCAATCGATCTTTTAAGACCATTTCTATTAATTTGACCATCGAGTCCAGCAGGCATATAGGTCGATAGCTACGTTTTTCATAGTGCACACACACAATTTTTTTTATATTACTTTATTTTTATCGTTTTCATTTATACCGTTTGTATTATTAAATATTACATATATATTATATAACACTTTATATAAACAAATCGGTAATCGCTAATCACAAATCGCTCTTTGGAAACGATTGCCGATAACCAATCGGTGATAGCCATCGGAAATTTTCAGGTGCGTTCAGCACATGTACAGTAATCGATGATGTCTGCTGAATGCAGCCAAATATGTCTAAATAGCCTACTAATTTTTATTATTACATTTTATGTAATAATATTATTATTACATTTTATGTAATAATATTATTATTACATAAATAATTATTAATTTAAAAGCGACAAAAAAGGAAAAAAGAGAGGATTTGACACCACCGGATTATTGTGATATATGCAAAGTTAAGTTCATATCGCCACAACATACTAGAACTCATTATAACTCCAAGAGGCATAAACATAATATTGAGCTTGAAAATAACCTAAATAGTTTACAAAAGGAAGCAGTCGAAGATAAAAGGTCAGTACCTAGTTTACTGTATTATCTAATTTATATCACAAAACATCCCCCTTTAGATTTTTGAATTATATGTCATAAAATGAAAATAAAAGAACCGCCCCCTTGAGTTTGATAGCGCACTAAATTCATGCAATATCGATCCCTATATTTTTTTTTGAATATTAGATATTACAGAAACATTTTTTTAATTGTACCGAAATAGGTAGAATATTAGAATTACATTATATATTAAAAATTACAATAAAAATTGTAATTTATATATAACATATAATTTAATTTTAATATACCTATTTTGTTACAATAAAAAAGGTTTATATCAATACTCGATCGAACGTTTATAAAAATAAAACAATTATTGTTGTTATTTTAAATTATGTATTTTACATACCTATAAACTGAAAAAAAAACGTACAAAACAATTGGAATCTTTCCGGGCATTTGGAAAAAAACTGCCATTTTTGTTTCGCAATTAGGAACGCTACACTTCTTCATCGCAGGTTTGCGTTCTCGGTCGGAAAAAGCCATTGTAATTAAATATGAATAATAATAAAAATAAAAAGTACTTGGTAAAATAAATATAAATACACCAGTAATTAATGAGAAAATTGCCAAAATCACACACCGAATGTTCACAAAATACAACGAAATAAAAATATTGACATGCTTAAAAAAGAAATGAATATTTGTCAACTTTTTAATGACTAACAGCGCCTCTAGTGTTTGTTCGCACAATATAGCTTTTACTTTCAGTCATTTCCAGAAATTACAGAAAATGTTCTAAAGGGGGATGTTTTGTGATTTATATCAAAGTTTTAATTAGTAATTTTGTATAGAGGAAAATATCATTTATTAATAATAAAACTAAATTAATATTAAATTTTTAGTTATTGTTGCTTTGTATGCGGAATTGAATTGAATTCCAAAGAGTTATATGATAATCACGTTCAAAACAGTGGCCACAAATCATATTCTTCTGTATTACAAAATAAAAATAGTCATGAAACTATAGTTAATGTCAATAGCAATGATTGTAATATAAGTACCAATAAAGCATCATCAGATTCAATTGCTATTGGACCTGTAGGTAATGTAGAAGTCAACGGAGCAGAATCAGCATTAAAACATGGTATAAATTCATCGAAAAACATAGATAAATCTAAATATATTCAAGATAAACAAGAAAAAGTCATGTCAAAATCTGAGCAAAGTACAGTATAATATAACTAAATAGCTTACTAATTTTTATTGCTATTTTTTATGTAGATCTAGAAGCAACAGTAAAGGAAAAAATAGAGGATTTGACACCACCGGATTATTGTTATATATGCAAAGTTAATTTAATGTCGCCATTCGATGCTACATCTCATTATAACTCGAAAAGGCATAAACGTAAAATTGTGGTACACAGAGATGAGATTATAAATAACTTAAAAAGTGAAAAACAGAAAGCAGTGGACGTTAAAAGGTCAGTACATAATAATATGTCACAGTAATATCTAATTTATATCAGATTTTTAATTAGTATTTAAGTATAGGCTTGGTGCATTCTCCGCCGGTGCTGCCACCATCGGAGAATATCGTAAACAACTAGTACTTACAAATACAGCGTTTAAATAGCGAGAATACGAAAAAAGTATTATTTAATTATTCTAATAGCGTTAGGAAGTGTAATTTGTCAAAATTCTATAAATAAAAATAAAAAAGTAAATATTTTGATATCTTCAGAAGACATAGATAATAATTGATATAGAATAATTGATTATTTCAGTTAAAAAAACTTTTTAGATGAGTTCAACTACGGTAGCATAGTTTTAATCACCGGTTTTGCTAGTGGGGCATAATTGGGGCTATTTCGGCTAAAACGAAATTTTTTAAAGGTACATAGTTATAATTTTAGAAGATGTTCAACTAAAATGCTTAGTTGACCTGTTGATTAAAAAAAGTATACCATTAATATTGCAAATTATATTTTATCCTCTCATAGTATATCTCTATTTAATTTTTTGCTTATGTAACGAGCACTTTGCTTACTCACTTGTTTCGTCGAACTGCTTGAATTCATTTTTGCTTTTGATCAAATTGGTGTAAGAAACTGTGAAGCTATAAAATGTTGTTTCGGGAGAGTTGATTATCCGGGAAAGTTGAGTTATTGAATGCTATTAACAAGTACTTGTAATGAAATTGCGTAAAGGTAAAAAAGGATTTAAAAGTTATTCAAAAAAAATTAAGTTAATTTAGAGTAAATGGTATTTTATATGGAGAGGAATCTTTTACCAATCCCTGTACATTTAGGTAATGAGATAAAATTTGGTAACGTGGTGTAGTATTTCAATGCCTAGAACTTTTATTAATAATTTTTCATCGTATTTTTACATATACAAGTACTTTGTTCTTAGCGTTTTACATATTTTTTAAACTTTATAACACTCGGTATATACATTTGTAAAAATAATATGCCTGTTGGTCGTTTAAGCTCAAGCAGGAGTTTTTATGAAGAATAACTTTTTTTCATAAACACACGAATAAAAAAAATTTCCCTCTTTGGGAGTCAATCCGTGGACACACTGTATATTGATAATTCCAGATTGTTTCCGCTGAAGCGCTGCAGTCGGAATTTGTTGAAATCAACTGAAATGCACCAAGCCTATAGAGAACAATATCGTTCATTAATAAGAAGACTAAAATAATTCTAAATTTGCAGTTATTGTTGCCTTATATGCGATATCCGATTAAATTCCAAAAAATTATATAATTCTCATCTTCAAAGCAATGTTCACCAATTATATGCTTCTATAGAAAAAACTAATTTTGGTCATAAACCTATTATTAATATGAATAGCAATGATTGTAATATAACTGAAGGTAATAACTTCATGTTATTTTTATAAACACAAATAATATAATAATTTCAATGTCTAGGTGAAAATGAAACTGCTGCTTGTTATAACGCCAATGAAAAAGAGCCTGTTATAGATGATTTAGAGTGAGTGAAAAATAAATAAATAAGTAATTCAGTAATTAAACAATATATTTACAGGGCACAGGAGATTAAACCTGTTATAAACAACGAAGAAATGTTAAAAATAAATGATACCAATCAAAAAGAGCCTGTTATAGATATTTTAGAGTTAAATAACCTAAAAAGTGAACAACAAGGTAGGGAGACTACAGGGTCGCTGATATAATCTCATTTTATACATCTATAAATGCTAATTTGAAAACTAATGTCAAATATTATTAGGTATCACAGTTTCCGCAGAATGGCATCATTAAATGAAACCGAACACATCGAAATTAATTATATCAAATTGTTTAAGTGATATATTTAAAAGTAAATAACTCGGAAACGGTTGGTTTGAGGTATTACGAATTTTCCTTAGAATTGAAGGAAGAATTGAAATATTCAATAATATACAGGGGGTTCCATTTAAAAAAAATAAAATTTTGATGTGCTACGACTTTATGACCGACCCTGTATACGTAAATTTATTACTCGCCAACGGATATTTAAAAACCGTATAACTTTTGTATTTAACTTTTTACTATACCTCGTATATTTTACCTAATAATCAACCTTTCCCATACATTTCAGCGACCCTGTATAAAGGTGCGTCCATACCGGCCGCGCCGCTCCGCGCGAAGTAACACTGCATTTGTCAGTGCGCTGTTGGTCATTGCGCGAGATACTTCCAAATACAAAAATACACTCTTTTCTTGAACAACCTCGTTCTTCAAGAAACATCTGCTCGTCACTGTCCCGTTCAGTTTCATTGTTAAACACCGTCCAAAGCGACTGCGCTAAAACGCGCACGAACCTCGGTTTTCCTTTGATCTACCGAACATCGATGGAACAAGAACGAACGCGCAATGGGTATATCGTTGGCGCGCGTTTCCACTAGTGATGGGTTGCTATTTAACTATCTGTTATTTTATAACAATTATTTAGAAATAACATAACGCAACCGTTACTACTTCTAAAAAATAACAGATATAAAATAACGACACGTAGAGATCGACCATTCAAGAAACGAAGTCGGCGCCGCCACGAAAGTCGATGCTGCTCGAAGCAATTCCAAAAAACAACTAGTATGGATGGAAAAGATGTTATTTCGACAACCATCGATACAGGCGGCGATATACAACGGACAACGGAGTGGGGAATACGCTACGGCGCGGCGAACGTAGCTGCATCGGTCGATGGTCGTGTTGGGCTTGCAACAGCTTAAAAATAATAGGATATAAAAGAAGCAGCTTTTTTGAAACAGTTGCGGGCATAACGCCTGGCGGTCGAGATATAACAGGAGTGGGAAAGGAACGCTGCTGCATCGGTTGATTGTCGATGGAGGCTCGGAACGGGTTGGAGAATAAAGTATAGAAAATAAGCAGTCATTTTAGATACGTTGTTTTTTAACCTGTTACGAGCATAACAGGCGGCGGTCGAGATAATCGGAGTGGGAAAGGAACGCTGCTGCATCGGTCGATTGTCGATGGAGGTTCGAAACAGGTTGGGGAATAACGCATCAGTTGTTTTAGATACATTCTGTTTCAACCTGTTACGAGCATAACGGGCGGAGGTCGAGATATTATGGCGCTGTATGTTTCAGTTAAATTAAGTTTCAATATTTAGGTATATATTTATTCTGAAAAATCTTCAGAATAAATACCTAAGTAGAAATTCTCCTTTGCAAATTTTAGTGTAAAATTAATTCAAATTCTAGTGTGTAGTTGGTTTACTTATAAAGAATATACTACACATATTCTTATATTGCTATTTTTTGACCGCAAATGGTAAAATCATAACTAAGAGCTTCTCGCCCGTCCAGTGATATGCACCCTGTACACTGCTACGCAATTCAGGCGGATCAAGGCGCAGGGCGTAGGTAGATCGGAATATATAGGTATAGACGAGTGGCGGCATTTTGGCTTTTTTTTATCGCAATTTGTAAACAGCGCTTATTTGTAAACAACCACCGTTTTTAGAGAGGTATTTTAGATAACAATCGATATTTAGAAATGTTTTGACACCCTGGAAATACTACCACCGAGCACAGCATTGTTGCAACTTGCAACTGCGTTAATACGCCTGGCGGTGACCGCCTCATACACTTTCAGATGTTTAGCAATAAAATAAAGAAACCTGTTATTTTTAAGCTGCTATTTTAAGCTATTTTTTATAAATAACTATAACAGTTTCAATTGTCATCTAAAAAATGACATTTTTGCCCATCACTAGTTTCCACGTCCACACTGAGTGCAACTGCAACGTTGCAAAATGTTTTGCGCGGCCGGTCTGGACGCACGTTAATATGTCTAATAAATAATCTACTAATTTTTATTATTACATTTTATGTAGATCTAGAAGCGATAGTAAAGGAAAAAATAGAGGATTTGACACTACCCGATTATTGTTATATATGCAAAAATAATTTAACATCGCCAATTCATTATAACTCGAAGAGGCATAAACGTAATATTGCAGTGTACAGAGATGAGCTTTTAAATAACCTAGAAAGTGAACAAGGTAGGTACACTATAATATATCTAAATAGCCTACTAATTTTTAGTATTCCAGTTTATGTAGATCTAAAAACGATAGTAAATGAAAAAATAGAGAATTTGACACTACCGGATTGCTGTTATATATGCAAAGCTAATTTAATGTCGCCAGGCAATGCTACATCTCATTATAATTCAAAGAAGCATAAAAGTAAAATAGCGCTGTACAGAGATAAGATTGTAAATGACCTAAAAAGTCAACAACGGGAAGCAGTCGAAGTTAAAAGGTCAGTACCTAAGTTTTAATTAGAATTTTTGGATGCTTGTCAGATATAACTCCCTCCGAATTTTGTACTTTTTTTATATCACTCGAAAGCATACATCGAAACAAGTATTTGAAGCCAAATGTGGATGATTCACAATTTAATGAAAAAATAACAACTAATCATTGCTACAACAGGTTACTTTCTATGCGAAAACTCCTCCAAATTTTGTCGGCGTTGCCAGATTCATTCATTTTTTCTTGGGAGATACATTAAAAAAATTCGTGCTGCTCGTCGAAGGAAGAAATCGCGTTAAGAATAAATTATAAATTATTGTAAAATCAAGAAAAGGCGGTCGTCGGAGGAACGGATACCTATAGCTAATATTTTGCCTACCAGATCTGACTATAACTACAAAGTTGCACGGAAGAGTTTTGATTGCGTTGGATTCAACTTCTTTGGGAGGTTAATCCTATTATGTATCATACAAACGAGAAATAATTTTGGCAAATAATTTATAATTAATTAAACAATAAATTTACAGCGAAACGGGGATTCAACCTGGTATAGACGATGGAGAAAAGCTGGAAGAAAATAATACCAATCAAAAAGAGCCTGGTATAGATATTTTAGAGTTAAATAACCTAAAAAGTGAACAACAAGGTAGGTACGCTATAACATGTCTAAATTACCTCCAATTTTTGTTATTACATTTTATGTAGATCTAGAAGCGATACTAAAAGAAAAATTAGAGGATTTGACACTACCCAATTATTGTTATATATGCAAAGCTAATTTAATGACACCAGGCAGTGCTACATCGCATTATAACTCGAAGAGGCATAAACGTAATATTGTGGTGTGCAGAGATGAGATTGTAAAAAACCTAAAAAGTGAACAACAGGAAGCAGTCGAAGTTAAAAGGTCAGTACCTAGATTAGATTAGATTCTTAGAGGTGGCTTTCGGCCCGATCCACTGCGACCTTCTCAGATATATTGTGGTCCTCTTCTGATCCTTAGATTACATTCTCCAGTCCTATCCTTTTCACAAAGTTCAGCAACTTGGAGACTGAACCCTCCATGTAGCTCCCTGGCAATGGCCTATCATTGCCTATTACCGGGAACCGCACATTTGCCAGGCTGTCACACCGACATAAAATGTGTTCTGACGTTTCTTCTTCAGATTGGCAGAACCTACACATAGCTTCGTCTGTCAGTCCTATCAGCTTTAGATGCCTATTTAGCTTACAATGCCCTGTTAGTAGACCTACTACAGCTTGACTGTCTTTCTGTCCTTGCTTATCAAGTCTACCGTGAATTTTGGCGTATGTTCTACAATGAACCTTTTCCCCTGGTGAGTTTCTCCACCGTTCTAGAGATTTGTTGGCCACCCATCGTTCCGTAGCCATTCTCGTGACCGCCTTTGCAACGCCGCAGAAGGGTTCTGGGCCTATGAATGGCATTGATGAGCCTTGCTTGGCCCTTTGATCGGCCTTTTCGTTACCCTCATGCCCTGGCACCCAGGTCAACGTAACAGTGCTACGTTCGCCCAAAGTATTCAGGGCACGCACACAGTCCCACACTAGTCTACAATTGACCTCCGCGGAGCCGAGTGCCTTTAGCGCCGCTTGGCTGCCTGTGAAGATGGCCACAGAACGATTTGTTCTTTGTTGCCTTATTATTTCTTCTACACAATAGTGGATTGCCATTATTTCTGCCTGGATAATTGTGACATCCTTAGATAGACTTACGTGGAAGGATCTCCCTTGTTTCGGCCCTACTATCCCAGCTACTACGCCTTCTGACGTTTTTGAGCCGCTTGTATACCAGGTTGCCTCAGCTTGAAGGTCATTACCTAAGTCACTGTATTATCTAATATATATCAAAATTTTAATTAGAGTTTTTGTATACCTGCAGTGAGCAAGAAATAAATAAATAAGTAATTCTTAATTAATCATTAAACAATATATTTACAGGAAAGAAGAGTTGAATCCTGATATAAACAATGGAGAAATGTTGGAAAAAAATAATATCAATCAAAAAGAGCCTGTTATAGAGATTTTAGAGTAATTGAAAAACATATACCTAGTTAAGTAATTTATAATTAATTAAACAATAAATTTACAGCGAAACGGGGATTCAACCTGGTATAGACAATGGAGAAAAGCTGAAAAAAAATAATACCAATCAAAAAGAGCCTGGTATAGATATTTTAGAGTTAAATAACCTAAAAAGTGAACAACAAGGTAGGTACGCTATAATATGTCTAAATTACCTCCAATTTTTGTTATTACATTTTATGTAGATCTAGAAGCGATACTAAAGGAAAAATTAGAGGATTTGACACTACCCAATTATTGTTATATATGCAAAGCTAATTTAATGACACCAGGCAGTGCTACATCGCATTATAACTCGAAGAGGCATAAACGTAATATTGTGGTGTGCAGAGATGAGATTGTAAAAAACCTAAAAAGTGAACAACAGGAAGCAGTCGAAGTTAAAAGGTCAGT